TCCTTTAACAATCACAAATTCAAGTACATTATAGATAGATAAATCAATATTATAGAAAAACAAGATCAATAGTAAATCAACAACAATTATGAGATTTTTGGATTTGTAACTCCCAATTAATGATATGGGAGTTACATACAGACTAAAATTACATATTTACCCTTGTCATTAAATTATGAGATGTATATGAACCTAGATAAAAGATGGATTTTCATTGGTTGAGCTTGGTTAACAAAGTTAACACAATAATCTTGGTTAACATTTGAACCAAGCTTTCTCTCTCTCTCTCTCTCTCTCTCTCTCTATATATATATATATATATATATATATACTTTGTAAACCATCCATTTCATACAAACCCTACAAACCAATCATATCCATCCATTTTCATGATCAAAGGTCATGATTAAAAGAAGTTATTTTAGTAAAATAAAAAAATAAAACAAAAAAAATTATTATTTTCTCCAATAAATGGGTAAAATGAGAACAAATTTTAAACGTTTGAAATCATTGATATCTCAATTCTTGGAATTCGATCCCTTTTTCTAAAAATTATTATTAATCAACAATGATAAATGAAACATTTTGAAAACTGAATAATATGATTTAATTAGTGAAATCAGTTTGATGAATGAAACATTTTGAAAACTGAAAAACATATTTTCATTAATGAAATTAGTTTCTTGGTTTCTAACCAAAATGAAATTGGTTTATTGATGAAACTAAATATAGTTCAATCAATGAAATATTTTGAAAACTAAATAATATGATTTCATTAACGAATGAAATTAGTTTTCATGGTTTCAAACCAAAATGAAATTAGTTTCATGAATGAAACATTTTGAAAAATGGATAACACGATTTAGTTTATGAAATTTGTAAGTAAATTAATTTATTCATGAATTTTACAAATAAAATAAAATATTATACTCAAAATCTGGAAAATATCACAACTATAATATTCATAAATTTGGAAAAATTTGTAAATTGAAAAAAAAAATACCGATTTCATTTGTTATTATGAAAATGGGATAAATAAATTCCTAAGAAAAAAATGATTATAAATAAACTTTAAAATTGACGGATTAACTTTATTTAATAAAAAATACAAAATATTAATGTTAGTAAGTATCTATTAAAAATTTAATGGTTTCATGATTATTATAAAAACAAATTAATTGATCATTTCATAAAGAACCTCTATACTATATAATCTTCCCGATTTAAACACAATTAAAATATTACTAAAAAATTATCTATTATAAAGTTAAAGGACAATCATATTATTATGAATTAAAAATAAAGGAAATTAAATAGAATCATGCTATTGGTTGATGTTAGTTTGTACAGTTTGTACAAAAGGAAACAGTTTGTATTTAATCGTTCATCTCTCTCTCTCTCTCTCTCTCTCTATATATATATATATATATGTTTAAATAAATATATTTATTGATAATTATAAACTTTATTTGAGTTAAAATATATCTATTATTCAAATAGGTTCGTTCCTGAAGGAGGACGGGCCACGCATATGCCTAGGACCCACAATATATGGGGTCCAAATATTTTAGAATATAGTATTATAATGGTAGTAGAAAAAATTAGTAAATAAAACAAACTATTTTCTTAATATCTAATAGGACTGAAAATGAATTTTGTATTATATTAAGGGTCCGAACATGTATTAATTAACTGTATTAAAAAATAAAATATGTAAAAACTAAAAAGTTAATTGATGGTTCATTTTTATAGTATTATTTATTGTCTCTATAGGACCTTTTATCTTATGCTACTTGTCTATAAAATCTTGATATTTCTTCATCATTCATCTCTCAGTAACTCTTTTGATTATTTCATTCGTATGATTT